GTTAAAGTATAGCAAATACAGTGCCTCCTTGGGTTCATGGCAGCCAGGGTGCAGTGATCCCATTCACCAGACTTTGGATGCCCCCACTTCAACTCTGGTTTGTCCGTATTTACCAACCAGTCAGACCAAAAGCATCTCGCCATCCTGCACTCAGTACAGTGGAACTCAGCCTGGGGAATCAATTGACACTGCCAGAACTGGACATCACAGTGACAACAGAAGCCTCCCTCCAGGGATGGGGCGGGGGGGGGACCCTGCACAATGACCAGACTAATGGGACAAGGGCTGTTTAGAAGTACCATGGACACATCCGTTATTTTAAGCTCCTGGCAGTACAGAAGGTCCTTACTGCATTTCAACCTGTTCTTCAGAGCCACCACGGGCAGATCACCAAGGACAACACTACCGTAGTGTTCTACCTCAACAGACAGGGAAGTGCCAAGTCTGTTTCCTTGGCATGACTCACCATGCAAATACGGGACTGGTGCATCGACACAGGCATCGCACTCACAGCCGTCCATGTGACCAGGATGAGCAGTCTGAAAGCAAAATACACAAATGGAAGATGGATCCTAGGATCCTCGCAGAAAACTTCTGGACCCAGGGAACTGCATCCATCAATTTCTTTGCCACCAAGTCCAACATAGTCTGCAACAGCTTTTGCTTGGCAAGGGCTCGATGAAAAACGCATTCATCTTTTGCTGGAATGGGACTCTCTTATCTCTTCCCACCGTTCCCCCTGATTACCAGGGTGCTGGCAAAGATCTGCAGGGGCAGGACCAGCTGCTCTTTGGTTAGTGTACCTGCTCAGACTATTGACCAAGATGTTCACTCGCCTTCCATTGAACCAGAACATCATCCCATGGAACCGAGGGAAGATCTTCCATCCGGATGTCGCTGCCCTGTGCCTTGCAGCATGTAAGATCATCCGATAGACTTGGGCACACTTCTTTGACCCAACATCCTGGCAGACCTCAGTGCAGCATCCATGAGGAGATTCTATGTGGCAAAATGGAACCCATTCTCTGCCTTTGCCCAGCAAGTATCCTTTAAACTCCATTAGTCATCTATGCAACAAATTCTATACTTTCTGTACATTCTCTTCCAAAAGGCTGTGAAACCCTCTTCCATCAAGGTTTATTTGGCAGCAATCTCCTTGTTCCATTCACCAATCCAAGATTTCTTGGTCTTTTCTCATCCAGTATCCTGTTGGTTCCTCAAAGAACTGCCAAACATAATTCCATGAGCCCAGTCCTTCTTCCTTAGCTGGAACCATTCTGATATACTCCAGGCTCTTACAAAACAACCCTTCAAACCTTTGGCCACCATAGATTGCAGACTTCTCTTCTGGAAGGTAGTCTTCCTTGTGGTCATTGTGTTGGCCAGAAGGGCCAGGGAACTCTGATTGCTGCATGTTCATTAACCATAAGTCACTTTTCACAGGGACAAAGTGAGACCCATCATTTCTTCTGGAGGTTGCCTCACCATCCCACCTTGACCAGGATCCAGTGGAATCTACTCTGCACACACTTGAAGGGCCTAACACACTTGCATTCTACAAGTCTTGAACAGACCCCTTTCCCACTCTCAGAGGCTCTTCATTTGCTACGGTGAGAGGTCCCATCAGCTCTCAATGGCTTGCACACTCAAAACCATCAACCTTGCCTACCAGCTTACAGGACTGACATTCCTTACAGTTCCCACCCACCTACCCTACATCAATGCCGGTCAACTTTATACTTTATAATTCCTCAGTTCCGAGATCACAATGTCGGTATCAGTGGAACTGAGGAAGGTGGGTAGCAATTGCTCCAAGATATACTGAAGGGTGGGAGGAGAGGGGCTCTCAGCAAAATGAGCCTAACTAGGAAATCTTCCTGACAACAGGCCCTGTGCAAACAGAGTCTCCCTCTCCATATGAGTGAGTGCACAGATGACCACTCAAAGAACAAGGGTTACAAATTAAGTAACCTGTCTTATTAGTTGCCCATCATGTGTCCAGCTGCTTCTCTCCAAACCTGGTTGGTCTATTTTGTACAACAAAGGATCATGGGCAGTGAAAAAACAGTATCTTTTTCTATTCACTTAAAAAATAAATCACTCATTTTCTTGTGGTCAGTTTTACAGAAACCAGGGTTTTTAAAAAAAAAATCAACTGACTTTTGGAGACCATTCTGTCTCCAGTTGCACGTCTTTACTGCATGGGTCCTCAAACTACGGCCCAGGGGCCGGATACGGCCTGCCATCCCCATTTGGACCTGCCTCGTCTCACCTTGCATTGCTGTGTGCCCCCCCAGCTCAGTGTGTTTGCCCGCACATGCTGTCCCCCCCCTGCCGCCCCGGCCCGTGCGCACCGCCGGCTCCACCTTTCCAGCCTGTGCCCAGCACCAGCAGCTTTCAATTGGCCCCCTGGTGAAAAAGTTTGAGGACCCCTGCTTTACTGCAATGCTGGAGCAGATGGACAGGGGAAGGTGTGGAGTATCTCTGATCCAAAAGTGCAAAGCTTGGACTAAAATCCCAGTGGTGTTGCAATTCCATATGCATAGGATGGTGACACATATAAACGTACACAGCAGTTTGAAATCTAGTCCTGTTGGGGATGGATAATTACCACCACATGGCAGTGTGTCACAAGCCAGAGAATTAGCTAAGAAAAATCTGGTTGGCCCTTTCACAAAGCAAACCAGAAGTATTAGCCCAGTGTTCCTTAGTCAAAAATTCAGGTGTGTGGACAGCATTAATTTTGATTTTTTGGAAAAGTTTAAACACATGTTTTGCATATTTCGAACAAATGACAAAGTCCCCCTTTTTCTTTTAATTATCTGTGTGATAACTTGTTAACCAAAGTACATAATAAAATATGTTTTATAGGCATAAAATAAGGATTAGCTCCACAAGTTTTCACGTTAAGTTTTCATAATGTAAAAGAGAACAATGATATTATTGAAACTGCTCATTCTAAAAAGGCTAAATAGCAACTATTTGGCTATAAATGCATCATTTTGTAGGTTAATGTTTTGCTGAAGGTCAGTATAATCTTGTAAACAGGGTTATGTCTCCTTTCTGTAATTTTATGAGGTTCCACCAGTGCTAGAGCTGGGTAATACAGCATGTGCTGCTATTAATAAGTTCAGAATACATTGTCAATTTAAAAGGTTGATTTATTCTTTTACATAACAGACTGGAACTATTTTAGGAGTTGTGGGTAGCTGATTTCCTGTAGTTTGTTGGATTGTGTGTAAAATGTTATTCCAGAACAGTTTGACATTCGGTCAGGACCAAAAAAAAAAAACCCCAAAAAATCCCAAAACACAAAGTTTAAAGTTTGTCATACCTAATACAAATCTAGAATATTTTATGGTAGCTCTTACTTAATTTATACACTTAAATATCCCTGTTTATCAGATTAAATGATACACTACTGAAGACCTAGAAGTCAAATATTTATCCAGTTTCTGTTTGAGTGCCAGCAGTAAGGCATACAATTTACTAATCAAATTCTAAATGGTTTGTTGAACATGATTCAAAATTCATCACTTGATGCAATTGTCCATACTTAATAATTAACATATGATACGTAAGGCCTGAAAATATGGAGTAATCGAAGGCAGCAGTCTTTCATGTGTACAGTCATCTAGTCATAGGATTTTATATGATTATTAATCATCAAAACTTGGAAAAGATTGGGTTCTGAACTAAGAAGTATCCTGATGGGTGGGATTATGTTTCTGGCTAGCTCTTTGTGTAGTAAGAGGACATAGGAGATCGATCTGGACTTAAATATGTGTTGGCATTTACACCAATGTTTGAATAAGACTGTCAGTGCAAACAAACAAAAAATGTTCAAGACTGGAGTTGAAACGGAAGCAAATCTCCCTCCTCCCCAGATGCTTTCATTCAGCTGTAGCTCATTTGTCTGATTTAAATCACTCAGGTGGCTTTGTAGACTGGTGATAGTGATTCTCCTTTCTTCAGTAGTGCATATAGATATAGCAACATCAGACAACAAATCTAATTGTGCTATCAATTCTTAGTATAAGAAGATGAAGGGATTGTAAAAATTGTGACCAAATGGTCCCCGTGTGCTTCTAAACCCATGTCTTTACTAATTTTTAACAACTTTTGTATGTTACCCTAAAATGAAGTTTTTGAGCTGCTCTTACGCAAAACATAAGGTCAAATGGTGAATGGAGCTCTTTTTCCAAATCCACCAGTTATTCGTTTTAAATGCCTCTTTGTTTGTTTAAATGCCAGTGAGATGTGGTGGTGAGAATGCGAGACTGGAGACCTGGGAGATCCAGATTCTAGACCTCTCTTGACCATGAAGGTCACTGAGTGGCTTTGGGCCAGTTACTTACAGCCAAACCCACCTTGCAGGGTTGTTGGGAGGAAAAAGTGTATTGGAAGAGGAAGCCACCTTAGGTTTCTTGCAAGGGAAAAAATAGCGGCATATGAATGTAATATAATAATCATGCTAATACTGTTTGGAAGCAAAACATTAAAAAGAATGTCTGCTTCTAGTATTCTTGGAGCTAAGTTAATGAAATTTGGGTTGAATGTGGGGCAACCTTCCCCGGCCTAGTACCTGCCAAATGCTTTACCTTCAGTTAGTTTTTCTAAATGAAGTTAGTTTTTCTGAACTTATACCCTGTTGTTTTTTTTTTTTTAATCAGCAGGTTCCCAAAGTGACTTACAATATAAAAATTGAAGTAAAACTGATTTAAAAATTAAAAGAACAATATAATAACTTAATGGCAGGAGACAGTGTTAGCTCACATCCCATCAAATTGCCCTATTTCTACAAGGTCCTTCAATCAGCTGTTTGTTCTTTCAAAGAAGCAACATGCACCTAAGATTTCCTGCCTTCAGTTCCACAAAGATGAGCTCCTGCACAGATTATCAAGCTTTGTGATACCCTTGCTGCCATTGCTGGTACTGGGTTGGGGAATCATAAGTATGGGTTTCTGTTTAATATAGATCCTTTCCTTTTCTTTTTAAAGCTTGAAGAAGAATTCCAAAGAAAGGCCAACATATCCTGAGCTAATGGTGAGTTTTCCTCATTAAAGGGCAGGCATAAGGCCAGTCCTCTTCATGCATTTGGCGATGGAGTTGCATGGCTTAAGTGGGGTGAGGTTGTTCACTCCACTTCCACATTCAGTATATTCGGTGTGTATGTCAGATGCGGAGCTAGCCTGCGCAAGTGTGTTGGAGGTGTTCTGTACACGCTCCACCCCCTTATTATAAGCCCACACATATTCTCTGGAATGGAGCTGTAAGTAGAGACTGGCTACTAGGGTTACGTAAACCCATCCACCTCCTGCCCATGTTTCTGTTCACCCGTAAGATGTTCTGTTTTCACAATGGGGGGAGGGCAGACTCATGAATATGTACTTTTAAATGTGCATCCTCTTATTTTGTTACAAAATATGCTTGCTAAATGTATTTTGATTTGTTGTTATAACCAAGAACTTTGGGATACATGCAATCTGGTGGATAGCTTAAGTTTCAATCCACTTCTTAATCAGGATGTTGCAGAGCAGGTCGCTTCTCTATTACTTGCATTTTTATACTGCTCAATAGATGCAGCTTTCTGAACAGTTCACAGAACAAGACTTAAGGGTATAAAGTACAACAACGTAGTAATACATACATCTTTACTGGAATTCACAAGGACAAAATTTGTTAAGCATCCCTAATCAACACTCTCTACTTCTGATAGAAGCTGAAGAAATAAGGTGCCCTAATTTTTACTCTAGAATTCAGTGGTTGATCAAAGCAGTTGTTTTCTCATCAACAGCTTGTTCTGCAATTTGGAGAGTGCTTGGAGTGAGATAAGTGTAGCCAGTATCTGTGGGGCTTTCAAGAAATTGGGTTGGATTCAGATTTAGTCATGCTTAGATTAGGGATGTGCGAATCAGCAAAACTTGAGCTCAGCAAAGTTCTCCAAAATCTATTTCATAGCTTGTTCCAACTCAAGTTCATATCAGATAGCAAACTTTGTTTTTCTTTCTTTTTGCATAAAAATCTGTGTCTATTTTTCCAAATGTACACACATCAATTATCAGATCTTTCAAATTTATGCATTCTTTTCCCATGGATTAAAGTATATATGGACATATTTTGCAAAAATAGACATTTCTGTGCATATTTTTCAAAAGTATGCGTGCTGTTGCTGTCAGTTGTTTTTGGTCTGCAAATAACATTGCAAATTTGGAAATATACCCCAAATATTTCTATTGTCCTTTCTCAGGGCAAGTAGGAGGCTAATGCAGTGATCCCATCTTACAATAGATCCAGCCTGTACAGGGCTTTTGTATGAATCACAAGATAATGTGTGTGAAGTGTTTTGACTCCCAGAAGTTGCTGGTTGAATGTTTTAGATAGGGGTTTGGCTTGGTTCAGCATGACTGTTCTTGCATTCTTACAAATCTAGCATTCTTTTGCCATGGGCTGAATCTGTTGGCCCTTGCTAAGTTTGTGACTTTGCCACCACCCCACACACCAACCACCTCCATGGGAAGGAAGATTCCTGGGATTAAAATGTGGTAAAATGGAGAGGCAGATGACTATGTAGGCTGCCCTGGGTTCTTTGTGTGAGGTAAGAAGGTGGGATTTAAATGTAATTTTAAAATACAACGGGAGAAGAGAGGCAGTAGTATAAAAGTTGGGTTAATTGCTGGGGATGGTATGTTTGGTTGTTGCTATTGATTTTTTCATTGAAGAACTCCTCATAAGCTTCTGAGGAAAGCCAGAATCTCTCAGAACAAGGCTTGAAAACCACGTTTCACACTTAAAGTGTACCTCAAATTTATTACCAGACCCTGTGTGACAGAAACCTCTCTGTCCTACTCACCTTTTCGAAGGGCTTACACAGAAAATACTTCTAGTAGGGAGGGTAGCACGCTTTCCCTCCCTCATTTGTGGTGTTTGTATTATCGATACGTATCCCTCAGGGTTATGAAATGACGGAGATGCTCCATGTCAGCCATTTCTCTTTGTTTCTTGCCAAGGGCTAATTTCAAATACCTGCTGAGTACGAACTTCCTTGTGATATATTGCAACCCAAACTCTGCCTAGTTTTATGTAAAAGCAGTGAAATAATATTAAGTAATTCCTATGGCATTTCTGCAAAAGGTGGTCTGTAGTACAAGTTTGCATAGTATTAGATCACAATTATAAGTTGATTTGTAGACCTGGTTTTATTGCCTTGTTTGCACATAGAGAGTATCTCTTTGTGCCCTCCTCCAAATCTCCAGGCTGTGTTTTACCATGTGGCTCTCAAGTCTGCACAGGGTTCAGCAGGGTAGAGATGAGGAAATGCATGTGCTCTGGCCAAACTCTGATTGGCAGCCCTGAGCATTTCTATTGAATTAGGATGTTGGATCACCTTTCAAATGTATCTCAGCCTTGTGGTATTTCATGGCTGACATTCGTGTTGTAAGGTCCTGTGGTTTGGATTTTCTCTCTCTCCCTTTTCACTTTCCCATGGCAGTAGACATTGCGGTACTGGAATGGCCTTGCCTTTTGAGACTGAGATGGCTTCCTCGCTTTCCTGTGTAGCTGAGGTTTCAAATGGAAAATCAGAGGTTGACTTGGGCATGGAGAGAGCTCATTTTCTGATTTGAACTCTGCTTTCTACTATTCCCGTGGTGTTCAAAATGTGTTCTGGGGAACCCTGGGGTTTCTTGGAAGCTGATCAGGGGTTGCCCTGTGAGAATATCATTAATGACAGCCAAGCTTACTGAAAGACACATTGTCCAAGCCTGTGATCAGCATAAACTGGCAGGGCATCCTAACACTCTCCAGAATTCTTAAGAACATAACAAGTGCTCTGCTGGATCAGCCCGAAGGCCTATCTGGGCTAGCATCACTTTTTCCAGAGAGAACAACCAGATGGCTGTGTGAGACCTGCACGTTGGACATGAGGGCAGTAGCCGTTATTGATGGTCATGGCGGTTCTGTGGTGGTCAAGCAGCTGCTTTCCAAAAGGCCATCAGGAAGTGGTTTCTGAAAACAGAAAGCTTTAACATAGGTCTTTCTTCTTCAGCATTTCTGTGCATCAAATGTATGGCTTCTGCATACATGCATGGAACTCATTTGGGAAGATTCCTAAGCTAATTAATTAGCATTTGGTGGGAGCCCAGTCCCTTGGGCATGCCCTGTGTGTGGGGAGAAGCTCCTGCCCAGACCTGAGTTCTTTGTTGACTGCCATTGGGAGGGGCTTCCTCTGCTTATTCTTGCCTCTATCTCCATGTAGCCTCTTCATTACACTTCATGGTTCTTTTCCTCTTTTGTATTTTTCCACTTCTACTCCTATTTTTTTTAAGTGTCTCCTGTTTTTCCTTCTTTCCCCCTCTTTTCTTCCTGGCTTTCTTTTGCCTTGTCTTCCTCCCTGCTGTCCTAGATGCTGCTGCCCAAGGCACCATTTTGTGACTGTGCTGAATGTGGCAGCAGACTATCACCTCCCAATGGCTACTCTCTGTGCCTTTTTTGCCTGGGGGGGACTCATTTTGTGGAGCCACGCTTCCACTGCCAGGCATTTACTTAAATAGGCCAGGAAACATCACACTGATGGCCTTAAAGCAGGTAGCTCTCCTCAGCCATCCAACTCTATAGCTACGACCTCCACACCTGTGGCAGAACCTCCTACTACTAGAAAAAGGACACTCTACCAAGATGGGGAAAACAACAGTTGGCAAAGAAAAATAAACCATCCAAAATGCCCATTCTGGCTAAACAGCAAGATGGCAGGAAACCAGCCAAACATGCTGAGATGTGTTGCCCCCTGCTGGGCTCCCACATACTAAGGACCTGGTGCCAGAACTTGAACCACCAAGGCGCTCCTCTGTGCCTCTGAAACCGGCACAGGAGCCTCCAACTCAGCTGTCACTCCCGGGTCCGAGTGCCTCATACTCAGTAGGCGTGACTTAAGAACCATCATCTCCAGTATGTCAGTATATCAAATACACTGTTGTGACTCCCTGCCATCACCAATCCTGAGCGTGCACCAGCCTGTCGAACCCAACAGACATCGATACTGGTCTCCTTCCCCTATTGCTGATTGGTACTGTAGACCCTGGTGGCCCACACCTCCCTACAGATGGGAGTATGAGGTCGACCTCTACAGAGAGCACCAGGCATCCTTCAATTCTAGACATAACCAACTACACTGTACCCTCCAGTGTCGGTACCAATTCTGGGACCATCAAGGGATGCAAGGGAAATGTTTTTCCTCATTATGCCCCGCATGGAATTTGTCTCTTCATGGCAGCTGCTCACTGGGTTGTTAGTCGCAACCCCAAAATCTCTTTCTTGATAGTCACTGCTAGCTCAGATCAAATCAGTTGATACCTTTGCCGAAGCAGATTATTGTACCCCTGCTTGTATTAAGTCACATTTACCATTTTGATTCTAATTCTCCAGTTCCCTTGGGAGAGATGCCTTTGGAACACCTCACAATCCTTTTTGTTTTTAACCACCATGAATAGTTGGGTGTCATCAGAAAATTGGCTGCTTTACTGTTCACTCCTGATTCCATATCGTTTATGAATAATTTGAAAAGCATTGGTTGCAATCCAGAATCCTGTGGGACTCCACAGTTTCCACCACTCCATGGGGAGAAAATGCTGTTTATTCCCACTTTCTGCTTCCTGTTATTTAACCAGTTATTGAACCATAAGAGGACCTTCCCTCTTACTCCCTGACTGCTTAGTTTGCTCAGGTGCCTTTGCTGAGGGCCTTTTAAAAAGCCTTTCAGAATTCCAAGTGAACAAATTCTACTGGATCATCCCAGTCCGTATGAGTATCAATACTCCCCAAGAACTCTAAGAGGTTAGTGAAACAGGACTTGCCTTTGCAGCAGCTCTGTTGACTCTTTATCCTGGTTTGGTTTTGTCTTGTTTGTCTCATTTCATCTTGTTTGCTAGGGGAAGGTGGTGAATTTACTTTTCATTATTTATTTTCAGTTTTCAGGTAAGATTACTTACAATGTGAAAGGAGTGAGTTCTTTACCCAGATTCCTCACCTTGTTGCTGAACTTGTATGGTTACATAACTTGGTGTAGTGATGGGGCTGTATGTGTTCCTACAACACTAAGGACAATCACCGATCTCAGAGTGACAGAAGAACATAAGAAGGCATCACAAACCTCAGGCCTGCAGTTCCAATCTGGCTCACTGGGGTTTTCAGGATGGCCATACATTTTCTCCTGGCCTACTTCCTTCTCCCAAACTAGTGGTTCTTTGGTGGTTCCCCAGTTTTTGTACAGATTCCTGCCTCTCCCTTCTGAGTGATTGAAATGCCTCTCCAATAAGAGCAATAAGCAATAAGAGCTTTAAGCTACAGAATATGTTGGTACCTTTTGTATTTGAAAAAACATCTCTCTTGCCCCTTGCCTTTGGCCTGCCCACGGTAGGAATACAATCCCTGAGAGCATCTCTAGAAGGAATTAGGCCCTTGGGCTGGAAGAGGTTGCCCAGTCCTGCATCCTGGACATGGATGCACCATGAAAGTGTCAGTCCCGGCTCTCATGTCCTGCAATGTTGTACTGAATGGCAGTGGGAGGGAAGGCCTTATCTATGGAATATGCCTTCATTCTTGCCAAATATCTGTGCAATAGTTTTGTACTATGCTGGCAGGTTCTTTCACCTAGTTGGTTATTATTACTTAATACTTGCCACCCATATATTTGGCTACCTCTTTCCTACCGTAAAGCCCCAGCCACGTGTACACAGGCACACACGCTACTCACATGTATGGTCAAATCTTTTCTCAGTGCTAGTCGCAGATGGCATTGCGTTAATATGGAGAGATCCAGGTTAAGTTGTACTCACTTCTCACTGGCTGGGTTCAGGGGAACTTCTGAACATGGGAATTCTGACATCCTCACCAGGCCAGCTCACCTGTTGCTCTAACACGTATACCCCACATCAAGTGTGGTGCTGATGTGGGTTTCTGTCAACACCATGCACATTTTGGCATGCGGAATATTTCATCTGAACTGAAGGCTATGGGTAGTGTGTGGTCTGCTGCACTCTGCTCTGCGACGGATCCATCCCATGGATGAATGCGACTTGCATACACCCTGGTGCACACATAAGCACAATTTCTACTCCTAGGGCCCTCCCCAAACCAGTCCCAAGTCACCCTGGGGAAGGATTCGGGCAAAGAGGTTCCTCACATCCCTCCATCCTTCTAACATACACTGCCTGCAACTACAATATATGTTCAGTGTAATAGTTGGAGAGAAAAACAGCTTTCCTATTATCCGCTGCCTTTTGCACTTGCGGACTGCACCCTTCCCATTATGATTCCACTCCTCCAAATTCAAAACCAACTGGCTTATTTGCAGAAGTTTCATTTGGGAACCTCTGTTAAGAACAAGTCTTGCTATTCAGATACCTTTCCTGACCGAAGAAAATCCCTTGGCTTCATTTGGGTGAGAAGGGTGTTGGACACAGTCAAGGAGAAGCAGCTGCATGATTTTGCTGCTGTAACTTTTGGCTTGTCATTCCCTTTCTGTCTCAGGTTCCTTTATCTAGAAATTGCATTAGTGATCCTCTTCATAGTGTTACTATAACAAGGAGAGTTCAAAAGCCCTTTTTTGAACATAACAGTCACAAGTACTGGAGATGTGGAAAGTTGTTGTTAAAAGTCTAACAGAAATTTTAATGAATTTAGTATCCAAATCCATGGTTATTATTATTTAAATGGGTGGCAATTGCTTTTTATAGTAGACTTTTTATGATGACCCTGGTAGAGGTTTGTTACGGTTTGATAACCAGTTTTGCAATAACAACGTATTCAGCTTATCTATACTTGGCATAAAACAAGGAGGGCATTTATATTTTGCTACAGTTACATTGTTCAGATGAATGTGTTCTGCAATGAGTCCCATTGGAAAAGATTTTCTGGTAAGGGCACCTGCCATTGTGAACATGCTGGGGAATTACTGTAGTCTTTCCCATGGCCATTGCAGGCACATACGAAGATGAACACAAAGGCTTGAGTGGAAACACTTAACATGAGTTCTTTCCTTTCTCCTCCTCACCAGTTTTCCTTTCTCTTTTTTAGCAACACCATTTCTTCACCCTGCACGAATCCAAAGAGACAGATGTGGCTTCTTTTGTCAAGCTCATCCTGGGAAATTGAGAAATGGACTTGTACATGATTTTTCCCTTCTGTGGACTGGTGGGTTTAGGAGGAAGGGTGCGTGGTGGGATGCCACATCACATGAGAAAACCAGTAGGGCAGCCTGCCACTGGTCACTTTGTCAGGGGCGTGTGTGTAAAACCTTAGCCCTCTCCGTATGAAGGCTTTTTAAAGGGTTCTTTGGTATCCATAGTGACATAGAATGAACTGGTTAGTGAAATGAATTTTAATAAGGTTGTCAACCATAAAAAAGTACAAAAACATTTAATGAGTGATTTAAATAATGACAGTCAAGAGTTCTCTAACAGTCTTCTCTGCTCCCCCATTTCTTGTTCCCTGTCAATCCTAATTTGCTTTTGTTTCTGGTAATAGGTGCTACGGTAGTTATGAAGTTCTATGTAGAGTTATATTTTTCCCTTACCATTATTTTAATATTTATGTTAAGTGCTTGATTTTAATAGACTCTTTTGTTTTGTTTTTATGTGAGAGTTGAGTGTGGATGGTAATAACAGCTATAACAGCTGAAGCTACAAAGATGAGTATTTATAGGACTTTGCTGGGAGGAGGAGGGGGAGGTGGTGTGGGCCATATAGATATATAGGAGGTGGAAGACTAATTTAAATTCAAGAAAGAGTTTGGCTTACATGTCAGCCCAGTGATACCTGAGGTGGTGTGCATAATCTTTAGGAGATGGTCTTATTTTTAACAGCACATCGAGAGGATGCAAATATCCAGTAATTTGTGGTGATTTATGATCCTGCTGGTTTGTTTTATATTTGTAGTCTTCAATGAATAAAAATTTCCAGAAGGGTGAGATCCCTTCAGGGGATCTGGGATTATCAGTGGAAATACATACAGTGTATTGGAAATCAAGAGCAACATACAGTAATCATTTGACCACTGGCTAAGTAATCACCCCATGATCTACAATCAAGCAGATGTCCTCTCTATTTTGTATGTAAGCCATGGATCATTCCTTTTAGATGACTGGGAAGGAGAATGGAAGAAAGAGAGATGGCATGAGGATTAAAAAAAAATCAGCATGGGGGCATTATCGAGTACCAGGGGCGTATCACTTTTATGTTGCTAATTTTATGTTGGCAAGAGTAACCGAAGCTTGTCTTGGAAAGTTCAGGTTCACAGATAATACCCATATTTGTCTCCCTCCCAGCCCCACTACTAATTTTCTTTCTGGAGGAGGGCCTGTGTGTCTCTGGCACTGGTTTAAAGGGTCTCCACCTGAAAAGCCAAGGAGAAGCAAATGAATAGGAGCTACGCAATATGTGCTACATTTGTTATCTCTCTCTGTCTCTCTCTCTCTCTTTTAAAGAAACACAGCTCCAGCACGTACTTTTGCCTTAAGCTCCCCTTGGTTGCAGCCATGTTGTGACGATGGTAGCTTGCCTTGATCTCTTGCTTTGCTACACACCCCTGTTTGTTTAGGACATAGAGCAAGACCAGAGTCCTGCTTGATGGAAGTGAGTGCATTTGTGCAAGAGCTGCTTTTGCTTGGGAAATGTTTCTGTTTCCTAATAATTATGAAATATGGCAATACGTATTTGTCACACAATGGTAAGGTTGGTGTCGATGATGAAGGAAAATGTTGGTATTCCTGCTAGTACATGAAGCCCCATATGCACTGTCCATCCTCCAGTACAGGACAATACAGCAATGTGAAGTAACTTTTGTTCCAAAGCATTAGTATTAACCATGCAGGTTTTGTCAGAGAAGGGCCATCCTGTTTTCCTGCAGCTCACATTTTACTACATAACCGGTCTTTGCGCGTATGTCCACTGGAAAGCAACCAGGAGACATTTAACTGCAGACAAAACACTAAATGGGCTCAGATTTCAATGCAGTCTTAAAGGCCTAGAATGGCTTGTAACCTGCCCCTAGTTTTCCATTTTATGAGCATGGTTCCTCCCTCAACACCACCCCCCCGCATTGGTTCCGAGCGGCTTTGATTGATTGTCTTCAGCTGCAGCTAACACACAGCCAGACGGTTATTAGAACTAGTTCCAGCATCAATTCTCACTTTGAAAAACATGACATTTAAAACCCGCTTTTTGGTTTTCCTACATATGGATCCGATGCTTGCTGTAGAGATTGTTTTTGCTCTTTTTTCTTTTGGAATAGTGAGACTCATTTGGACACCACATCCTCTTGACCTCAGAACACCTTTATTTGAGTGCTGTGGTAACAAACAGGGTGGATTTATGAGATAGGATCAGTGTTAATAGCAGATATTAATGCTCCCATTGGTTTCCAATAGTAGGATAATGCCAGTGCTGTCTGCAGTATGTCAGTCTAGAAAGATTATTGCTCTGTGAATCAACACTACATGCTTCAAGCTTTTTTTCAGGAATTAAAATGTGGATTCTGAGTTCCTTAATCACTCAGTTCCTCTTGAGTTCTTTTGTCAACTCTGTCTTAGTATATTTCATCTGGGCAGGTGCAAGACCCTCATAGAATGCTAGAATACAGCACAGCCAAGCTATTTGACCCTTCTAATCAAAACTTAAAACATGTGTTTTTGTTACGTTAAAGGCTGCATACTGTGATAGTGAACAGCATTTCTGTGGTGTTTTTCAGTACTTAAGGTGCCATCCCAATTCTTATTCTAAAGGATGTCCAGTAAAAGGGGGAGAGGAAATACTGTTTGCGTAGTCCACAGGTAGCACAGCGAAAATCATGGTGTTAAATTACAGCAGCCTTTCCCAGACTGGCACCTCCAGATGTTTTGGGCTTTAGAGCCCACCAGCCAGGTTGGGGAAGTCTGGATTACAGAAATGAAGAGTCAGGTTTACACATTAGAATTGTGTTGATATAAACATACACAGAAGCACACATGCACACATATGCATACATATACACATACTGTTCTGCAATGAAACACACTGCCCAAGGAAACTAAATCTGCATTCCAGGAAGCAGAATCTTGCTAGGCATCCACTGGATAGAGTTGTATTTTATATAGAATAAGATGCCTCTTGGCAGGGAAGATTTGACACAAGCAGTCATTGGCTTCGTTCTCCAGTATTCCACTTTGATCCTATAAACAAAGTGGAGGTTGAAAGAATGTTTGCTGCAGGACCTTAGGTGTTTGAAATTGATCGTAGTTAAGCTCAACCTGAGGATGCAGCTGGGACTACTCTAGTGAGATTTAACTGTTCTGGTAGGCATGGTGGAAAAATGAATGGAGATGCTGGGAGTACATTCAGTATATCCTTTAAAACTGCTAACTTGCGAGCAAGAAGGAGCCAGCCAGAGCCCATGTGTGGAGCAGAATCCTATTACTGACACTAGCATATTTGGCCATGCATGATAGCAAGCTGATAAACGTTGCTTTCTCAGAGCACAGGGCACTGATGTTATTGCTAACCATCCTATTTTGGATTGCATTTCGTGGAACATTGTGAAGCATTAACATTGTCTGTTTATGAGTACTACTTGGAACTGTGAAGAAAAGGGGTAACTTTGAAGCTTGTGCACATACTCTGTTTTGCCCTCTTTCTTGGTGAACCAAGAGGTAATTGTTGCATTCTGTCATCTCATGCCACACCACTTGATGATTTCCTACTTTTAAATGTAGACCATGATAGCATAACTCTTTCCTCAATTAAAAAAGAACAAAAAACCAAAACCAAATCACAATGCTTCTTTCCAGCCTCTTAATTACTTTGGGATTCCTTTTCTCTGAATTCTGTCATTGGGTTGCCTGATCACACAGATTTCATTGGCCGTTGCAATTGAGAGGGGATGGGGAGGGTTAGGCAGTATATAGTACATTTATTAGGGAAGGAGGGCTCAAATTTTCACACAGCTTATAGGAAAATCTCAGGAAAGACCTTGGAAATGACGTTTGTACATTTTTTAAAAATTTTTGTTACAATGTGGAAAGTGTTGTGGGTGCATTCCTTAAAGGATCATTTCCTTGACCAGAAAATCCGTCTTTCCACTGCAGGGTATAATATGAATTCACTGAGATGAATTACAGAAGTCCTTGCATTCCTGACATTAACTAGTATTTATAGGATGGTGTTTTCCTTAAAAATAGGAAAATTAATTTCCCATGTAATGTGCTTATGTCACAAAATTATTTTTTCATGCCATAAAAGACTGCTTAAGCAGTAGCAGAGCTTCTGAAGTTAGCAGTCCAAAATCAATGAAATAGAGATGCTGGTTTGGATGTAGAATTGATCAAACTTAGAGTAGACCCATTGAAATCAGTGAGCCTTAACTTATTAATGAATAACAGGGTCCTGTTGGTATCAGTGGGACTATACTAAGGATGCACACATTTGGATCCAGACCAATGTATTTTGGTTGACATCTAATTTTGGACAAAAGTCCCGTCCATAAGTAAAAATTGCCACATTTTCCAAACCATAAAAGTTGATGTGGCTCTTAAGTATGTTGTACAAACAAATATCCTGCTGTTCATTGACATCCAAAGGTTGTGTTGCTGAAACACTTAGCTGTGAGGCTCTTTTGTCCTCAGCAGAGGCAACAGCACGTCTTAGTTGATGTGCAGTCCACTTTTGGCCGGACTTTTATTTTGCATATTGTCACTGTTGATTTCTACCAAATTTAAGCTGAAGAAGTGCATGTCGTGCTGGCAGATTTCCAAACTGCACTTCTTTCCCTTTCTGAACTGAGCATTCTGCAGAGCACAGATTTAATTCGTCTCCCTTGGAGGTCCATACACTCTGCAGTCAAATTTCGCTGCTCCGCATGGCATCTTGTCCTGTGCCAGGCTCTGGCTCTCTTTGTAGACAAGCTGTCAACCTGTATTTCTGGACAGGTACCTTTATTATGCAGACTACAAGCAAGCAAACCTTGCTTCAGGTTACAGACAGTATTCTTTTACCACCCAAATAGCCAGACCTTCCAGATAGTCCTTGCAGAACACAGAACCTGGTAAAGTTCTGTTAGTTTCCTAGATTAGGTCCTTATGAATAAGAGTTGTCACAAAACTGATCCTGTCTGCAACAGCCTAACCTTATCATGCTAAGCAGGCTCCCCAATCCCACCCTAAAGGTAGGTCTTTCTGTAGAGCCATCTCCTTCACGTGTCTCTGAATATTCCTTGATCTTGTGTTGTCCCTCTTTCATATAACACCTAACTGTTGGGACTCTTGAATTCCCCCCCTCCCATTAGGCACCTGTGTTCCCAAGGGTTCAGAGGACACAGCCTTCCTGTCCTCTGAAAAATTAAGGCAATGGCTCATCTTGGTTTCATCTTGGTCTCAGTCTCCTAATCCCATATTTTTGGGTCCTCATCACCATCTTCCACCTCTCCTATTTGGTTTCAAATCAGTTCCCATGTCAGGGTATGTCCAGTGCTAGTGTCAGGCCCAGTCCCTACACATCTGGTGTGTGAGATTCTCCATTCTGAGAGAGAAGAAAGGAATGGTCACAGATACTCTTTCATGCAAACTTTTTAGAAATGTCTACACCTGGCTTCCAGTATGGCCCCCTGTGATGAGAAAAACACTGCAGTCCATCCTGCCTTTCATAGTGGTGTCTGCCTTGTGCATGGTAATATATTGTTGATATTTTTAATGTTTCTGTTGTAATCAGCAGCTCACTGCAGAGGCAAGGCAGGAATCAGCAGGAATAGGACAGATGTATCACTGCTTCTTGCAGTGACTCTGTCATCACCTTCTGACTGTGCCTTAGAGAAACGCAAGATTGTACAGGTGTTTACTTCTGGAGTTGAAGTGGCCTGTCATCCATTTTGAGGAGGCAGCACCACTGACGATCAAGTCTTTGTCACTATGTGATGCTTGCTGTAAGATTTCCATTTTCAGGAACGTAACACATGTTGACTTGCTTTTCTGCAGTTTGATGACTACTCTCCATTCCTCAGGCAAGGATTTCTTCCTTTTCCAGTGCAACACGTTCTGCAAATGTCTTTGATGGGTCTTTGTAGCAGTTGTACAAGACATATGCCTTGTGGCATGGTTGCATAAATCTGGGTATGCACTTTATGGCAAAAGCATTTGTTTAGGTTCCAAAGGTTACTGCATCTTTGCATTTCTTGAAGGCATTCTGCTTGTCCTTGATAACCTTTCTCCATTAAAATGTTAGATCCTCTATTATTGCCTGGTAATCCCATCCAATGAGTTGACATTTTCTCAGAAACTCTTGAATAACAAGAGTCGAGTCATACCTAATGAATCTCATCCACCCAGGTATATGGTGTTGGAGAACAGCATCCTGCTATGCAAAATTCCAAATTTTGTTTGAAGTATTATTTATATCATAAAAAGACACACTTCCCCTAAGAGGTCACAGCAATGGTACTTCTGTTTATTAAATTTGTATCCCACCTTTTCACTAGAATAGTGCTCAGGAGGACAAAGAGTCAAATACAAATAGGATCATAAGTGCATGATATAAAATAATAAGTTAATAGACTGTTTGGGTTCTTGGAACCTGACACAGTTTATGCAGATGGTGTTGGTTCTGCAGCAGCAGCCCTTGTCTTCTAATTTTTTCAAGTCTCTTAATGTTATCTGCATTTTATAAATAGAGCGTAACATGCAGCATCCCAGAGAGTCTGACATGTATCTGTCCCCCTGTGTCAATCCATGATCATGTGATGCTTTTTTCTGTTACGTGGTGTGCTTTCTTCCCCCTCCCCACCTTTGTCGTACTTTTGAGATGTAAAGCATTTCTACTAGACAGTTTCTCTGACCACATGAGACAGTCCCTGGATCCATCATCAGTTTTCATCCTGAAAATATGGGATGATGGGACATATTCTATTGATATGCAATTAGATTTTCTTCAGGAGACAAAAACATACTTGGAAGAAGAAAAACACTTAAGGAAAACAAGATATCATTAAAACACTGTAATTCATCTCCATGTGATTTTCTGTTGTGGATAGACTTTCTGATGAATGAAATGGCTTTAAAAAGATACATTATAACAAAAAGCACAAATTTCACTTTCTCGGTACCTACATGTAAATTTAGTGTTATAAGTTCCGACTATGTGTTTTCACACTGTAACTGGAATAGCCTGGTTGTTTGAAACTTCTTTGATTTGTCTTTGCCTGTTGTCTCTTAGATGCTCTCTGAGCAGATGAGTCATGGGATAACCCCTCCCCCATTATGTTTGAACGTTCTCTTGGCAGAGGGGGCTGAGATGGCGTACGGGGCAGCAACTGAGAAGCATCCCTTCAGTAGCTGTGCAGGCTTCCTATTTAGTGGACTATCCCTGTGATATTGCCCTCTCACAATAGTGGGTGCTAGAAAGCGCTTGTCCCAGGACAGAAGGGTCTAGCAATTGTATATTGAGCCTTGGCACTATACTGAGAAAACACCCTTCAGTAGATAGAGAAACGCAGAAAGGTTGTAACCTGAAAATGATCAAGTGAACTGCATGCACCTTTACATTTTTATCAGGCAAAGCCATTGACAATCCAGGCATAATTCCTTTTCACTGCTGCATAATCCTTACCTGAAACCCTCTTTTGTGACCCAAGCTCATATAACTCCAATTTTCAGCTGAGAGTGTCAATTTTCACTAGCATAGACTTGTTCCTGTACATAAACTACGGGTATTGCAAAGTAACAATTTATGAATAGAAATTTCTGGCTGTTATATATTGCTGCATTTTGGGGGCAGTTCCATTTGTTCTTGTTTATCAATTATTTGTTCTACTTTATTTATAGCAAATACTCAAAACCTACTATTTGGCCTTAAAAGGAACCCCCAAGATATTTAGTATTTACTATTAGGCCAAATGACATTGGGGCGTAAAGCAGAGGTTTTGCAAAAGTCTGATGCAAAGATGGGGAAAATAAATCCAACAGTAGAAGGTCACCCCCACAGGCCTGTTGATCCCTTCGGCTTGTGCATGGCTGGTGCTGTTTTGACTGCCAAAGCTTATGGCACTTACTCTGTGAAAGGGGGATTATAATTATGCAAGAGACCGAGTCAGGATTTATTTATTTACTGTGTTTTAAAAACGCTAATAAATCATTATTAAAATACCTAGTGAAGAAAGATGGGGTCAAAATTCAACTTCATTCCTACTTAGGTTGGATTTTACCTATTTTCTTAGTACTAAATAAACTATAGCACATGGAACATACCATTCTTCGTTGTGTCCTCTGTGCATCACACATATGGGTGCTGCGCCTGCGCAGTGCCTTTGGCCGGAAGATTACAAACTAACGGTTTATTTTGGTGGGAAAAAGCTCCGCTCCCCCTCCCCCACAGCCTATAAAGAGCGGAGCGTCCGCCATTTTGTTCAGTCTTTGTGACCACCGTTCACTGTGCCTCATGCCGCTTTCGACTATCACTTTGATCGTTACTCGTAGCCTGTTTTTTCTCCTTTTACTCCCAGTTTTATAACCCTGATAGTTCTTCTTAGCTCTAGTTCTTCTGCAGTTCTATCGTTCTACCATTCTATTTTCTTCTTCTAAAAAAAAAAGCAGCCAAAAATACATTCTTACCCTCTGCACTGTCTCCCTTTTTCTTCTTCTTGCGATGGCACAGCGAGTGGCCTTCTGCATATGTGTGGAGTGCGGGTCGAAGATGTCACCATCTGACCCGCAAGACCTATGCCTCCTCTGCTTGGGGGAGGGGCATAGGACCGACAGGTGCTCCCACTGTCTGGCCTTCTCCAAGCAGGCC